GGGGAGCGCTGAGCGCCGCAGGAGTGATCCGGGTGCCCGCACACAGGCCGCTCGCCGGAGCCGTGGCCCATCCCCAGCCCCTGGCCACCGGCTTGCCCACCGTGCCCTCCGTACCCGCCATGCCGGGCGTCAACAACCTCACCGGCCTCACCTTCCCCTGGATGGAGAGTAACCGCAGATACACAAAGGACAGGTTCACAGGTGAGTCCGGCCAGCGCGTGGAGCCCCGCCGGGCCGAGTTCCGGGCTCTGCGCCACCCTTTCCCCGCTCGGTGGCTCCCCGCAGCCCCCGCTGCTCGCCAGGGAGCCCAGCTCCTCTCGGGGCTTCCCCAAGTTTAGCCGCCCGCCACCTCTCTGTGCTCGCGGAATCGCCGTGCTCTAAGAGTTCTCCCAGCCTGGGCCCCTCTCGGCCTCTCCCGCAGGACCCCAGCTCCGAGAAGCTCACCTTGGTCCCTTCTCGGGATCCCAGGGGCCTGGGCAGGCAGAGGGAAGGGGGCTGTAGCTTCGGGACTACCTACAGCCGCCTTTGGAGCTCAGGAATGTCGGAGAAAAGGGCGCGATGTGAGCAAACTCAGATTCTGCAGTCCCGGCCGCCGTTCTCCGGCACGAGCGGCCAGCACGGCTCTCTCTTCGAGCACCTGAATCAGACACAAGAAAGAACAGGTTCCCCCACCTGCTGCCCCTGTGCACGCACACACTTCGCGCTCCGAGCTCCGGCCCATCGCGCGGCCCGGGCCCAGCTGCCCGCCCGGCAGACGCCGGGAGCCCAGGTAAAGCTGCAGAGCCGGCCGGCTCTTCTTCCCGGACTGTAGGCTGCGTCCCAGGCGATGGCAGCGCGGGCTGAGCCTCCCGGGACGGCTCGTGCTTCGTTTTTGCTCTGCTCGGGCTTGACGTCCTCCCCCGGGCCCAGCCCAGTTCCCTCTGGCGTGAAGAATGTACCGCCTTTCGATCCGCGGCCGGAGGACTGCTCCCGGGACGATTACGCACACTGCGGCAGCCGGCTGCTGCCGTCGCTGCTGCTGCACAGTGCCTCCTCCGCTCGCCCTGGCTCCCTCCGCTCTGCTTCCCTCTCAGCACTCACTTTCGCGCGGTCCCTGTCCCCAGCCCCTCCTCCCACTCCTCTTAGCGTTCCGGGGATCCGGGACGGCGACCCTCTGTCCTCGGCACAGGCTCCCCAAACCCGCTGGGAGGCAGCCATGAGTTGAGCCGGGGTTCGCTTGCCTGGCCTTAGAGCCCAAAGGCAGGAGGCCCAGGCCGCTGCCGGCGTGACTTGGGGCTCCCAAGCGGCTGGGCTCCAGCGCCGAATGGTGGAAAGGGATGGGGTGCGCATAGCCAGAGTGGGAGAGACAGCTTAGAGCTACACCCTGGGGCTAGGCGACCCCAAGGCGCTCCAGGTTCCCTGCTCCTGGTCCAGGCGGCCCAGGCAGGCAGACTGCTCCTGGAGCCTGGGCCCAGATTCTGGAGCTGTGGCAGAAAGGGGAGGGCACAGGGAGGACAACTGCTGCTCTGGGCCTTCCGGCAAAGGCCCTTCACTCCAGGGCCCCGGTGCCTCTCCCTGGCCCTCAGTCCTCTCAGGCCTGAGGAAGCAGTAGCCTGGGCTTACTGCCCACTGCCACTCCTCTCACCCAGGCCAGGCTGGGCTTGAAGCGACCACTGAACTCCGGTCCAGAGCCCACTGTTCCCATCTCTGGGTAGAGGTACTCCATACAGGGCCTACCCAGGGGAGCCATAGCCCACCCAACCCTGCTTCAGGCCTGAAGAAGGGAAGTGAAAAGCATGTGAGGGTTCCACCCAGGCTATGGCTGCTGCCTTACGGTTTTCTGGCCTCCTGTGGGCCCCTGCCTGTGTGCCTGTGTTTGTGTTCGTCTGGTTCTCTGTCCGCCTCTCTGGGTGTATAGATCCGGAAGTTTGCCCGTTGTATGTGATGTGTCTGTGTGTGTTGCTGTGTGATAGAGGCTCAGGGCAGGGACCAGGGTGGGGGGCCTTGACCAGAGCAGGGCCTCTTAACGTTGGGAAGCTTCAGTGACACTGGAGACCTGGGCCTGCGGAGGCTGCGACCTTTAACTCTCCTCAGACCTGCCTCTCTGGAGGAGCTTGGAGGCTACTGCGGCCTTGTCTGCGCTGGGCACGCGGGAGCCGGGGACTAGGGAGGCCTCCGTGGTGGCGGCAGCGGCGTCGGCCTGGCGAGCGGGAGGGGGCCGTTCCTGCCGCGGGTTTGGCGCTGAGGGCTGACGGGAGGCTCACGCCCCTGCTCTGAGGCGCAGCCCCTGCGCTCGCTGACTCGCGGGGTGTCGGGCCTGGGACGCTTCCTGACGCTCTGCCGCTTGCCTCTGCCGTCTGTCTGTCTCCCGCTCCAGTGGCCCTCTCACCCTTCACTGTAACACGCCGTATAGGTCACCCCTATCAGAATCGGACGCCCCCCAAGAAGAAGAAGCCGCGCACGTCCTTTACGCGCCTGCAGATCTGCGAACTGGAGAAGCGCTTCCACCGCCAGAAGTACCTGGCCTCGGCCGAGCGCGCAGCCCTGGCCAAGGCGCTCAAAATGACCGACGCGCAGGTCAAAACCTGGTTCCAGAACCGGCGGACGAAGTGGAGGTGAGCACGCGCGCGGGCGGCCACGGGCGGCGGATGCTCAGGCGGCTCTCAGTTAGGGCCTCTCCGGGAGCATACTCTCTCCTCGCCGCTTCCGGAGACTCCTGCTAGACCCGTGGGGAGCGGGAAACGACGGCGGGCGGCCGACAGCCGGGATGGGACTGGGAGCTCCAGCTCCAGCTCTGTTTTTCCGGAGGTTTCAGAGCTTTCTGGCCACCACACTATACCCATGTAGACGCGGTTGGGCTCTCCCGCTGCTTGGGGAAACAGGCGGATTGGCACACAGTCTATGCAGTCTGGGCTTCCCAGCTCAGTGAGGCCTGAGGGGCTTTTTGTTTGCTCAAACTCGGGCTTCTAGGAGACTGGAGGCGAAATGGCCCGCGCCTAGTTTCAGCCCCCAGCCGGGGCTCCGGTAGCGCGCCGGGAGCCCCGGCCCGGGCTGGGCCCTGCTGACGCTCTCTTCCCCAGACGTCCGGCCTTGTGCATCCGGCCCCCCACTCTGGAAGGGGAAAATCAATCTGCACCGGCTGCGGCGGGCGTTTTGCGGGTCCCATGAAAGAAGAATCAATTAGGAGCAGATGGGCGTGTGTGAGACATTTTCCCCTGCTCCCGTCACACACCCAAGACTGCACTTACTGCATACTCATTTTATTTTTTTTCACATACATATACCTCGCTTTTGCTCTCTCCCTCATAAACACGCAGGGTCCCCCACGTTCCTAAGAGCCTTATTCTCCGCACACCCCAGGCGCTTTCTCCAGCTGCACCCTCTTGTACCCCACTTGCACCCTCCTGCACCCTTCACATCTGGCCCGCACACTGGGTTCCACACGCTCTGGAGCTCGGCCTGAGAAAGCACAGAAAGTCTGGCCACAGTCGGTGCCCTCCTAGCTGGCCTCTGGGCAGGAGGAAGGGATTGGAGTTTTCCCTTTTTCTCAGTGAAGGCGAGGAATCTGCCCGCCCGTCGGGCAGCAAAGGAAGACATAACCCCAGAGTCTGCCCCCACCAACATTCCTGCTGCTGGAGAAGGGGTGGGGGACATGGCCTCAGACCTCTGGAAAGCTAGTTAAATGAGGGAACAAGGGCTAGCTGGTGGCGTGGAGGGGCTGGTGTTCCCAAAGCCTACTGAGGGCTGCAGCCTAGAGGGGAGGAGGGAGCCAGGCAGGCCACGGGGGGTAGGGGGGAATTTCAGAGAGGGTGAGAGGGGAGAGACAGAGTGGACAGGCAAAGAGAGAAACTAAAGTACAAAGAAAAAAAAAAAAGATAGACACCCCAGGGAGGCAAGGAGAAAAACAGGCAGCCTGTAGGAGTTTTATTTATACCAAGAAAAGCAGCGGAAGACTAACAGCCGTGTATTCGTTTCAAACGAATTCCCTTAATTCTGAGAGAACGAAGTGGGTGGAGTGAGAGAAAACAAGAGAGAAAGACGCAAAGCGTCAAGGAAGAGGAACATTCAGGCAGCTTGAAATGCAGCAAAGAAGGAGAAGACAGAGGCAGAAAGACATACACAGAGCGAAAAGGCAAGAAGGGGAGGCGCGGAGGAGGCCCGCGGCCGCCGCTTGGAGAGGCCCTCGCCGGCTTCGCGCGGCTTCATCGATCGCCTACAAATTGCTTCTGGAGGCCCCGGGGACTCCCATTAGGTCTGTCCACCTTAGAGACAGACGTTTGATCTCAGTTGACGGGGTGGAGGGGCGGCATTAAATGGAATAAGTGAGTCATCGCCTCCCTGGACCGCCTCGGAGGAAGCGGCGGTCCGGCGGGAGGCCCGGCAGGGCGCAGGGCAGGGGCCTCGGGCGGGAGGCCTGAGGCCTGGGAAAAGTTCGCAGAAAGCAGGGAGAGAAGAGGTTCGCAGGCGGCTCGCATCCGTCTGGCCCTCTCTCTTGGCCCCGAAGGGTGAGGAGGGTAAGGCCCCTCGAGGCTGGGGAGAGGCGCGATGCCATCTAGGTCGCCGTCTTTCTACTCCCTGCCGAGCTGTCCAAGGCTGGTGGGGTGTGGGCGCTTCGCGTCGATGGGCGGCCCCAGGGGCTTGGGCCTAGCGGACTTGACACCGGCTCCCCAGGGGCACCTCCGCTCCATCTGGGGGCAGGTTTCCAGACTTTGTCGGAGTCAGGACCCTCAAGAGAAGGTATTGCGTTAAAGGGGTGCCTAGCTAGAGTTGGGGGCTGCACAGGAGAGCAGTACCTGCTCAGGCTCTCTCCCCCGAGCGGGCGCAGACCCTGGGGGCGGGCGGGAGCGGGTCGGTGTCCTGGCGGGTAACTGTGAGGCGGCTTGTCCTGGTGCAGGCGGCAGACGGCAGAGGAGCGTGAGGCCGAGAGGCAGCAGGCGAACCGCATCCTCCTGCAGCTGCAGCAGGAGGCCTTCCAGAAGAGCCTGGCGCAGCCGCTGCCCGCCGACCCGCTGTGCGTGCACAACTCGTCGCTCTTCGCCCTGCAGAACCTGCAGCCGTGGTCTGATGACTCGACCAAGATCACCAGCGTCACTTCCGTGGCGTCGGCCTGCGAGTGAGCCTGCGCTCCATTCCCGCGGTAGCCCTAGCCCAGCCAGGGGTCGCTGAGGCCCAGAGCCAGGACTCTCCCGCGTCCCTTCCCTCCATGGACTGCACGTGGGAGGTACGCCGCGCCCCTCCGCACCGGCCCGCGCCCTCCCACCGGCCCTGCTCTCTCTTCGGTGGAAGAGAAGAAAAGGGCGCGCGGGACAGGACATGAGAATCCCGCGACAGCCGGAGCTGTTCAGAATCCTCAGTTTGCGTCTATTTTATTTTATTCTGATTTTTAACTTGGGGCCCGAGAGAGCAAGGGGAGTGGAGAAGGACGAGTATCTGGGGTACCAGGGCTGCCATCTGAACTTGCCCCGGGGGAAACCCCCCATCTGTGTCCCAGTCCCCATTACACACACACACACACACATACACACACAGGCCCACATAGAGGCAACGGCAGTGTCCCTCCTGGTGTTACCCTAGAGCTACACACGGGGGACCCATGGCAAGGTGACATTTAACACAGGATCACAGCCTTCACACTCTTGACTCTCACTACCAGGCACAGGCGAGGGGTCACCCAGACTCAATCTGGGTAGCATGGTTCCCCCCCCAACACAAGGCCACGGTCACACTGTGACACAAGATCCTATGCATAACAGCCAAACATCACTCGCCTTCCAGGCCCCCACCACACAGCCCAGCTGCACCCAGGTATGCACAGGTAGGTTTTCACACAAACTCACAAACTCAGACCATTTCTCCAGATCCTGTTCATAGGGGTGGGGGGATTAAGTTATGCACTTATAAGGTGTTTTCTGTGTAACCATTTTATAAAGTGCTTGTGTAACTTATGTGAAAAAATAAATAAATAAAACCTTCTGGATATGGAGTCAGGGCCACCTGCTCCTTGCTGAGCCCAGCACCTTCAAGGTACTCTGGTTTGGTGCTGGCTGGTGCTGGGGCAGTAGCCACTGGTACCTGGGCTTGCAGGACCTGGGGAGCAGGACCTGCAGACTCTGGAGAGAGAAAAGGAGGGGGACAGACAGAGAGGACAGAGCAGAGGGGAAGGAGAGCCAGGTCACTTCTCTCCTGTGAGAGTTAGTGTTTGACAAGATGTGGCTGTCTTTGGGTGTGAGCGGTGTGTGCGTATCGTGATTGTGTAGGCAGTCAGGATATTACTGATAGTAAATGTTTGTAATAGTATTTAAGTGTGCATTGTATTTTGCAATTATTGTATGCAAATGGTTTTGCTTAAATTGCAAATCGAAACTATCATTGTATGCATGAGCTTGTAGTGGTGTACGAAACCTCGTGTGAATGGATTGTGTCTCTTTGGATAAGTGTGTGATCACCTATATTTGTGAGTGTATATGAATCATGTAATTAGTTTGTGAGAGGACATATTAGTTTCTCTTTGTGAATCTATTTTGTGTTAAATGTGTGAATGTGATTATGTATCATCTGTAACTGTATCAGTGTAATGGTGTATGTGTGATGTAAGTGTGTGTGAGATGTGTATTTTAACTATGTAAACTTGTGTGTGACAATATGTGATTGGGGGAGTGAATGTCTTTGTGGGAAGTGTGGATCATTGTGGAAGACTGTCCTTGTGGGATATGGTTGCACTTGAGTGGGTATAACTGTGTGTTAACGCTGTACACGATTGTGACGGGTTAAAGTGGTGTGTGCAGATACATCGTGGGGTGACCAGCATCTGCTAGGAGTTCTGGGGATCTAGACCCTGTGGCATCAGGCTGTAGACTAAGGTACACTGAGTCAGGAATTGGGGCCAGGATCCTGTGGCACTCTCAGCGGGTCTTCCTGGCTCCCAGCACTGGCCTGACACTGGGAGGGATCTAAAGAACTGACTTCTTCAGCCATAACGGCAGCCCCAGTATGCATACATCTGCATCACCTGGTCTCTGACCTGCTAGACCAATCCCAGGCACACAAAACTGACCTGGGTCTGTTTTTCTGGAAGGAGTCCTGGGGTGTAGGGTCTGGGAAACTTGCCATCTTGCGGGGGGAGTAGGAGGTTCTTTCTTCGGAATAGAAGAGTGAGAGGCCTTGCAGGTGGGAACTAGAAGTGAGCTGTGGGGCTGGTGTGGGTTCGTGAGGCTGTCCGCACCCGGCTGGGACCAGATCGCCACTGTTTTCATCCCTACCCGGCTGCCATACAAGGGCTTCGACTCGGGACAAAGAGCACAGCAACCTCCTACCCTAGCAGGCCACAGGGGAAAATCGACCGGTGGGGACGGGGTGGGGCGGTGGGAGGAGGCGAGCTCATCCATCCCTATACCCGCGGCCTTCTTGGGGCTGGGATCCAGCAGGAGAGGAGAGTTAGGGCCAAAGGACTTGGGCTGGCCTCCCTGTCTCTGACCCGAAGGTCCACCAGTGCCTTCCGGGCACTGACGCGACGTGTGTTGGACGTGGGAGCAGGGGTCCGGCCGCAGTGTCGAGTCTGGAGCGAGTCTCCAGCCTGCGCCTGCTCCTACCGCGAGCGCCAGGTCGAGCGTAATCCGGAAATGGCGCTCCCAGAGACGCAGAATTCGCATCCTTCTACCTGGGCTGAGCTGGCGGTGCGCTCCGCTCCCACCCGGGCTGGAGCCGCCGAAGTCTCCGTTGCGTTTGCAGCTTGAAGCAACACTAGTGCCTCGGAGCCGCACCATCCCGGAGCTGCCAGACCCCTGGGGAATGGGGCTTTTCTCCTGCCTCCCAGCCCCCGGGATCCCCTCCAGAGGCTGCTGCGCCTGGAGGCCTCTGGGTATTTTCCGGCCACAGACTGTCCAGCCTAGGAGCTGGGAGCGGGGGCGGCCCCAACACAGCCGCCCCAAACCGGCTCTGAAGCCCAGGCCCTTCACCGCCACCACCTCCGCCTCCCCCCAATCCCCGCTTGCAAAGACAGACGCAAAGCAAGGTTGGGCACAACAGATACCCCCCAAAGTGTCTCTAACTTCCCCCTAACTTCACAAACAGCCCAGGGCTCACACTCAACCCAGTAGCCAGACGCCCCTCACAGGCCCCGAGCCCTTGGCCCCTCTGCTCTCGGACCTTGCCCAGTCTGTCGGAGGTTCTCGGGGAAGGGGGCCCCCAGCGTGCCCAGGCCCCAGCGCCGGTCACGGGCGCCCAGGTCGGCGTTCACCGCCACCCGGGTGCCGCCCGCCTGGACCCTGCGCTTGCTCAGCCGCCAGAGGCCCGGCTCGCGCGCTCTCACGGGGCCCCTCTGGCCGGCACAGGACCTCGGACGAGGCCTCCTCCCTTGGCGCTGAGGAACTGCGCAGGACTCCCTGCTCTCCACCAGGAATTCGCTGGGACGGAATCTCAGCGAGGGGAGCGGCGAATCCCGCGTCCACCGAGAGCGCCTTGGGGGAGAGCCGCCGGGCCGGCGGCCTCCGTGGGAGTGGGGAGAGACAGGAGGGGAGGGGGCTGCGGAGGGTCACAGTCGGGCCAGGTCTGTCCCGAACTCCTGAGATTTCGAAAGTGCGCGACTCCCGGCCTTCACCGCGTCTGCTGGAAACGGTAGATCAGGATGTAGATAGTTTAGAACAGAAAACAAACATATTATCCAAATAAGTGCGTGTAAAGATGCGAGGAGACGAGAGGAGAAATGAACAGACCTGTCTGGGCAGAAAGGCCCTCTTCCTTCCTCAGCTGGAGCGAGCCATACGGACCAAGTTCCCGTGGCGAGTGAGCCCCACCGGAGAGAGTGAGTGAGCGCCGGCCTGAGGCCCCAGAAGCCGGGCAGGACTGGGTTCTGGGGCCGCGCAGTGCAGAGGGTCTCACCCGGAGAATCTGGCTCAACCTGTTAACTATGATAGCGCCTTTGTGTGGCGGAATCCGTGCTTGGGGGGGTGTGGGCATGGCACTGCCCAGTGACACCCGGCTGCGTTGGCGGGTATGAGGTTCGTGCTGACCCAGGACACCCATGGGCGCCCTGTTTGTGGCGTGAGTGACCTACATTCGGTCAAGGCAGGATCCACGTGTATGAGCCGACTGAACATGGATCTCCCTCGGGGCTGTGCAAGGTTAGAGCAGCTGGGACGCAGCAGCCTTGCTGAGGGACAGCTGGGGGGGCTGTGGCCCTTGGGCTGCCCAGAGAACCCCTCAGTCTGATGCCGGAAGAGGCTCCCTCCCTCCTGCTTTGCTCCTCCTGCCCTCCTCACACCCACATCCACACCATTTTTTCCTCCCAAGCAGCCCCCCAGTCCTGTCCGCTCTCTCTGACTTCTGAGCAGCCCCTCAGCCTCCTTGGCACTTCAGTCGTGGCTTTGTCAGCTCAGAGCCTGGGGCCCTATGGCCAGGCCGCTGCCTGCGCAGCTGGTAGGAGCTGCCACCGCTTTTCGCGCAGGGCTCCAAACGGCTGCCCGGTGCAGGGCATTTCCCGCCCACCCGAGGAGCTGCCTACCCTCACTCAGCCCTGGCTGCTTCAGGGTCCAAGGAGGCCCCTGGCACGCCCACCTGCACACACGCCTGGATTCCTTATTCCGGGGAGTCCCATAAGAACAGGCTAAGGAGGGCTGGAGCCAGCTCGGGTTTTCCAAGGTGCTCACAGCAGAATTGGAAGATGGTGTGCGACGGATGCGGTTAGGGGGTGGGACAGTGCGAGAGGGTTATGGGTACCCATACTGGGTGAGGGGTATAAACTCACCCCCCACTCATACCTTTCACTGCTGGGTACAACCTCACACACACCCTCCAATTATGCAACAACGGGAGTGTGTAATGTTACACACGGGCGCTACAGGTGTGCAGTGCTAAGGGCATACACACGTACACACACACCCTTCACTGTAGGCGTCCGCAGTTATTCTCACAAGCTCACACCTGTAAAGACCAGCGGCCACTCCTCGATGTCACCCCTTCCCTCCTCCCCCTCTCCTCCGCCGCCAGCCCTGACGAAGGAGGGTCTAACTCTTGGTGCTGGCGATTTCCTCCGCCTGCGCTTTATCTCCCAAGCCCTGCAGTTAGATCCGGCCGCGGGACTCCATGCACCCAAGGTTGGGCTTGGGGATGGCGGGCCGCC